CACTCAGTACCAGAACAACGGTCCCAAGCAGTCCCAAGCTATTTCACTCACCCCTGCATGTTCTGCATGAATCCACACACCCCTGATGTTATCTGTCAAACTTTCATAGCGAATCAAAACAAACATAGTGTAGTAATAGAATTTCAACTAGAATAGGGTACGTTAATCGTTTGCTTGGGACCAATAGGCTACTAAAGTGGTGAGCCAATTTAAAATCGTTAGTTTCGTATTGATTGTTGGTTTAACTATATTAAAACAGCACACAAACGAGAATCTGAAATATTTCAAGAATAGGTATCACTAGCTCTCAATTAAACTATAGAAATGGTTACCTTCGCTCAACTCGGAATTCGTTAGTTCATGCAAAATTCTTATCGAAAATTCATCATTTACGTGGTGTGTCAAATAATCTGTTATGTGTATCAATAACTCATCCCAAACTTTAATTCCATCCTTGGAGGTGCAATATTTCAGGCCAAAATCGATATCAATCTGGAAGTTTGAACAGCAATTTATTGATAAATATGCATAGTTTTTAATCGAGAATGTTGGAATATGTGCAAACAAAACTATAACAAAATCATATTGCGCATTTCCCATCAAACTGCGCAAATAAGCATGTTTTACCTTGTTAAAAAGTGTGATAACAGTGCAAGTTTCCTTCTAATCGTTTTGTTGTTTTCGGTGCACTTTTTTCTTATAACGCACACTAAAGCAATTTGAAGAAAACGTGCACTTTAATCACATTAATAATTTCATATTTTAAGTATAACATACTTAAAAAATAAATGATACTCACTATGCTGTTGATTTTCCCAAGAATTGAATGCGTGATCAGGGAATCAAAATGAACGATTCAGATAAAGATAATGTCATTAACATTTTGGTTACACTCATGATTAGTACAAATTAATAAATCACAATGGACAGTTCTGGAAACGATAATGTGATTATCATTTGTGTAACAGATCATGATCATATGAAATAGGGATAATCTCAGATCATCATCATCAGCTGTCGTCACTGAAAATTCCCCATTTAAGACAAGGCTAATCAAATACCCTATAATATGTGAATTTTCGGAATGAGGATGACGTATACAGATCGAAAATCGAAGTTTACCGCCATTATGAAATCCAAGATGGTGGCCATCGATTTAAGAAAAACTGTCGAAAATTGATGTCCGCCACCATTTGGAAATCCAAGATTACCCTGAAATGTGGGTATTTTCGGAACAGGGATAGTATGCAGATGTAGAAAATTAATATCTGCCGCTATTTGGGAATCCAAGCGGCATGCCGGCATGGCTAATGATTTTAGAAACAACTTTTTGATACAAAGTGGGCATTTTATAAAACGGGATGACGTGTAGATGTCAAAAATTGATGTCGGCCGCCATGTTGAATAGTTTATTTGTCAGTTCTATCTAAATCCAAAGGCCGCCAAATTGGATTCCAAAATGGCGGCTGACATCGATTTTCGACATCTATACATTATTCCAGTTCCAGAAATACCCATATTGCAGGGTATTTGACAGTTTTTTTCCGAAACCAACGGCCGAGATGACGGATTTCAAAATGGCGACCTACATTGATTTTCAAAATATATGTGTCATCCCGATTCCAAAAATATCCGTATTGTAGGGTATTTGACCTCTAGAACAACTTTTCCGAAGACAGCAAGTTCCTAGATTTTGATATACATTACAAAGTGATTGTTATCATATCAGTAGATTGTCGTTTTTGTTGCTGATCATGATGTGTAACACAAATGATAATCCATGATCTTACTGTACACTGATCATGATTCCGTTAACTAGTATTTTTATCGTCGGTAAATATCGAAAGATAGCATTTTCTTGATTCCCTGTGCGTGATACGAAGCTTTCCTTCCATTTATCAAGAATTGTAGCCCACGGTCCATCTTTAAGCATCAACCAGTTCATTGACAATACAGGTGCTGTGTTGTTTTTCGTGCCATCGGTTCCTGGCCGAATTCGCTTGGCATACTCCTCTTCTGATTTGTCACGTTTACGGGATTTGGTTCTCAAATTACAAATCTTGTTGTAAATAATACCTCCTGGATTCCTTTTGGTGCCGCCTTTTTCCAAATAGTATGTTTCCTATAAACCGTAGCAAAAAGCTTAAAATGTATAAATATTTGAAATGGTAGCACCACCCAAATAAAATAAAAACTTTCTTTATAGGTTCTATACGCGTTGCTATTACCTTCTTTTCCGATTTGAATACTGACGATACTGTTACAGCATACTCCTCAAGGTCTTCTTGCAACAGTCTTGTTCTGTTCGCCAAGTGCCATTCAGCGATAAAACCCGCCAACTCGTATTGTCTTCCAGTCGACAACTCACCGATTTCAGATCGACGCACAATGTCCTTACCCAGTTCTGAAGAATTTAGCAAGTGCAGTAGAGTTGTCGGACTGAACAATTTTCGTCCAACAGAATTGTCGTTCACAACTTCCACACTACTTCCAGTATTGAGACCGCTACAGCCGGCAGTATCTTGATTACTCAAACGCTGTCGAAAAAGAAAAAAAAATACTGTTAGTCATAAATACTTTTAATGTTTACAATGCAAAGGTTTCTAATAATTAACTAACATTGTTTTACCTGTTTAGTATTTGTAATGTCTTTTAGACATACGAATCCACCTGTAGCGCTGCTCGACAAGGTACATGGTGAATCGTGGGGATGATGATTAATGTTTGTGTTTCCTGGGGTTCTTTCTTCAATTGTTTCCTGGCTGCTGCGATTTTGAGTAGACCTGAGCGTAACCTCTTCTGCCGCAGGAATCAGTTCCGGCTCTTGATTTGAATCGCTTTCTACCTTCACTTCGCTTTCCGAAACTATCCATGGTGATAGGGAAGTCAGATTATTTTCACAGTCCAGAAAGTTCCGAAGTTCCACTTGCTGCAAAAAAAGTAAATCTGTTAAACAATAATTTTCGCAACATTACAAATAAAGGTGTACGTTTCTCTGTCGCCACTGCACTACGGTGTCGAAGATTTTCTGTGTGTTCCAAACGAATCCGTCGCTCAAACTGGTGGACTGTAAAACTTCTTCAAGTGTTCCATAGTCTATGGTGGATAGCTCTTGAATACCAATGTCACGTTCTATCAAAAGAAAACAGCTTTTTAATCAGTCAGTTTTAATTAATTAAATACTGTACTTACCACCGAGAAGATCGAAAAAACTAAGCGGAAATCCCGAGTCCAACAACAAACGCTCTCGTTCATCCGCCATTTTCACTCTTTTATCCACTGCTAAAATGATACAGTCGATATGTCATACACGCATATAAAATCCATAATGAAATTGGGTCTGTCAAAGTTATGTGCAAAGCATGTATATCGCACATGGTACATGCATATAACTTCTACGTGAACGAATGCCTTAAATGTTTATTGGATTGCTCATAAATATGAACTGCTTTACGCTTGATACGTATAGGGATTCATTTGGAATAAAAGTGCCAGACTTAGTTGAATATATATGATATTTGTGATAAAATTACCTTATTGGTTTATTTGAGTGTAAAGTGAAAATTTGACAGATACGCCCAAGGGCGTAGCCAGGTTTCGAGCTAGGAAGGGGCGAAAAAAAAATATAATGGAAAATTTGGTCGAATGCCATTTCACCGAAAGCCTTTGTGTTGCTGGCTACGCCTATGAATACGCTCTTTCCCGAAACGTCAACTTTTCGCTCAGCTACTGCTCTTTTCGCTAGCGCTGCAGGCGCGAAAAAAAATAAATAAACGTAAGCGAAAAAAATACGATCCACAAAATTAGATTTCGCTGGATCGTATCTGTTTACAGTCCAAAGCGAAGTGAAAATTAGCCAGTTGCGTTTTTCACGCAGGTGGAAAATTTAGTATTTTGTATGAGATTTTCGCTTCGCTTCGATCTTTATACAGGCCTTAAGAGTGTACGCAGGTGTAGAAACTGAGAAATTGCCTCCCTGCACATTCGATTGTCATCAATTGGCGACTCTGTACCTCTTTACTCCTATGATAAAAGCAAACGTCAGACTGTGTGTAAAACATGGTGGACTTCGTACTATCCTTTCACTCCACCGAAATATCCCATAAGGAACTGACAATTTTTCGACGGTGCCGTCAACGCCAATTGCAGAACAGAAACCGACGCTAAATAATAAAGAAATTAAGAAGAAAAAGATTAAGAATAAGAAAGTTTGCTGGTTCGTCCTTTTCCCATTCGGGGTAATGTCGAGGGGGACGACTCTATCTACGATGCAAAAAAGATTGTGTTTTGCTGTGGCTAGCTGCACGCACGCTGAGTAGATAGAAAGAAGATTTCCTGCAAAAAAATGATGAGCGATGCAAGTAGATGCGACAAATGAAAGAAGATTGTTCGAAGATTAATTCGCTAGTGTGAGATTTGTTGACCATCTAAACTTGAGATTTAGATGTGTCGCCCCCCTCGGGTAATGTACTGTCGGTGGACACATAATTGAACCATGTTCTATGAAGTTTCATATACACATGAGACAAATATATAGATAGAAAATCGATGAAGAGAATCGATCATCGCTTATACGCCCTTATGCATGCTCACTGTCGATATTTTCACCGGCAGTGTACTGCCCTTTTCAGCCTACTTGTGCCATTAGTTAAAACAGCAAGGTGAGAAAAACTCTGTTGAAGATTTGTTTCTCCATGGGCTGTTATGGATGGGACAACATAGTTTTGGTATTTTTCGCGACATTTTCTGAACAAAGTAGGAAACATTGTAAAGTGATGGTCCAACGTATAGCTAATTTTCACCGAAAATGCTAATGGGGCTATTATGCCGCACAGGGCAGTGTAGCACAATCCTAATATAACATTTCATCAGGCTGGGTGAGTCTTCATAACTTGATCTAATTTTCCAACTTTAAACATCGTGCCAATCTCCTCTTGCATTATTTGTATGCCTAACACTGAAATTTTATTGTGACACATATGACCTCTTCCATCCCGCAGTGCTGCCCTCGGCCCCAGTTCCTGAGGCAGCTGGGCTTAGCTTCGGTCAAACAGGACCCGGGCAACTACGCGCTAAGCACAATCGAGCCGAACCTGTTCGAGAAATGCAATGCCCTGCAGTATTTGTCGCTGGACTACGACATCATGTGTGATGATTTTTTGAAAACCCTGCAACTGCTACCCCTCAGGCGGCTGGTGATTCATGTCCACGGACTGGACCAGGAACATCCGGGCCTCTCGGAAGCCGCCTGGGGCAGCTTTCGGGCCAGGAACCCGCAGGCAGAGCTGCACTTAACGCTGGTTTGTGCCTACGAGGCGGTCGACCAACTGCACACCCATTTCCTGCGCCCATCGATGCCGCTGTCCCACCTGAAGGTGCTATTCTGCGAGAGGGTAAGTCATTACTGCCGGAACACCGAATTTCGACTGATGTGACCACATCCTTTTTTTCCGCAGATCAACTGTGATGCGTTGGAGTATCTCTCCCATTACTACAAGGAAACGCTGAAGAGCATGATCTGGGTTGATTCCATGGCAAGCGTCCGTCTGAAATACCTTATCCAACCATTTACAGCTAACATTGTCGACCTTTTCCAGCGCATCGAAGAGTACCGCAACATCATGGAAATGGTGGTGCGTACCAATCAGGACCCGCTGGTGATGATGGCCTGGCGCTGCAAGAAGCTCGAGGAGATCGTCATTCACGGTTATGTGCTGGATCCACATAATCTGGTCGGAATTTCGCGTCTACGGGGCAAGGATCTGAAGGTGCTGGAGGTGTCCCGGCTCGACATTTCGATGCCAACCGTCATGGCGGCACCGTTCATTCAGGTAATTTTAAGAATTGTATTTCACTTCAAACATTTGTTGTGGTGCTCTACTAGAGTAGCTATAATTAAGAAAAGTTAAATTTCAAGAATGTCTAAAGGTTTTCTAAGACGTGCTGTAGGTATTTTCAAGAAACTTGGCTGTAATTCTGGTAGGTGGTTTTTAACTTCCTGGAATTATTTGGCAGATCTTTGAAACTTTGTAGACTTTTCGGTAAATGAACTACAATTTAAGCTTAGTACAACTCCATTCTCCAACAGGAAATAAGCACTCAGCTCGGCCAAAAGTGGGCACCACTGGATCAGAAGACCCTACCCGCTGCACTCGGCTTCTATCCGGTGGCGGACGAAGTCCGCGACCAGTACATTCTCCGGTACATCCGCAGCAGCATTGCTCCCTAAGTAAGCCACCAAACAACGTAAGTACCCCCACGCCACACAGGATGTTTAGCAATAATGCGCTAGTTGCAGTTGCTAAAGAGACGGAAACAACCTGAACAACCGTTACCGTCATCAGTTAGCAGCTCTCGTTCAAGAGCCATAAACATTCGCAGAGAATAGCCTTGCTTTACCACTAGGAAATTACCAAACAGAGCAGCAACGGCAGAAAAGTACTCATATACCAGAGAAAGCGAAGAGAAAAGTCATCATTATTGTTCATTATATTTTTATATATGTTTAAATATTTTACGAAGAGACGAACTAACGATCAAACACAAAGTTTGACCCTGTCTAGCTCAAATAAGTTAGAGACCAAGATCGAACCAAAGCCAGAACAGAGAGAAAGGGTTGCATTTTCCCCTTTTCATGCTAACGTTGAAAAGATCGATTTTCTTCATCCATCGCGCGTGCGTTTGATCGAAGTAGAAGAAAACGAATCACGCTCACAGTAGGAATATAGTGCAATTTTTGTTTTTAACCGGTAGAAACACGTTGCATTCATGAATGAATTATTTTTATTGTTTTAGCGAAAAAAGATTCGGGAAACGAAACAAAAAAGCCGTTTTTTGTTCTAGATGAATTTATTTAGAGCAAAGTGAGATTCGTTAGCGAAAATGGTTTAGAGAAGAAAAGATTTAATAAGTACTAAGATGCGAGAGAGAACTACTATCATATGTATATCTAGAAGAGGAGAGACACAAATCGCGAGGCAAAACGGCAGCGAATGCTATATGTTACAAGTGATCATATGGAAGAACAACGTACGTGTGTAGGCGGATAAGATGTGAAAACAATAACAACGGATCTGTGATTTATATTTTTTGCGGTTAAATTATTTATTTTTGGGATTTATTCATCATTTTTTTTTTGTCTTATTCAGATGTGTTTACAACATCGATTAGTGTTTTTTTCTGTTTATGTTTGTTTTCCTTTTATTATATTTATTGGACATTAGTTTAGGTATACGAATCAACCAATGCGGAGGTTGGAGATTGTGTAGTAACTTTTCGGTCGGTTATTCATTCTTATCATATTTTTTCGGATCTAAGTTCAAAATGGTCATGGGTCAGATTCCAGGGTCGTTCAGTAGTAAATCAAATCGTAATTGTTCAGCAGATATTTGACCTTTGAAAGTCGTTTAGATTCCCCCAGCACTTTCATCGTTTGATGTTAGGGATGTACGGAATATGAATGAAATACCACATGGAGCTACAGTACAATCTCAGATTGAAAAAACGGTAATCAGTAATCAGGTAATCAGTTCAAGCAGTAACCGGGATGTTACTATGATTGATAGCGATGTGTGAAGGAATCTGCAACCATCTCGACTTAAATCTACAAAAAGGCTTGCTTAAACGCTTAAAGTTCTCAACAAGTGTATGATCCGTTTCTTCTTACCTCGATTTACTCCATGATACGAGAAGAGGTCCTTGGCATGGCAATTTTCTCACACTTAGAAGTTCTTTTCTCACTGTTTCCAAACTCAACGCTAGCATAGCATAGCATAGCATATGCGATTGTACAAATCGTGGGTGGCTGTTTAATGGTCAACTAATACGTTTTGTAGAAAATATCGTGTGTTGACGCAGAAAATATCACTTGGGATTTGTGATTTTCCCCACACAAACATAAAATCTACAAAACAAGCATCGCATTATACACCTGGCCACATCCTTACAATCGCAGGGGACGGGAGGGAAAGTTAATTCAACATTGTTTCCAAACTCAACGCTAGGGGCACAAATTCGCCAACATCTCCTATACTGCCGGTAATCGCAAGTCAGTCCCATCTGCATTTTTATAAATTTTGATTTAGCATCATTATTCAGTTTATCTTTCTGTTTTTTTTTTGAGGTGTGCTGTTGAAAAAAGGTAATTTGTTCAAGAAAAAATAAAAACAATACCAAGTCAAATTGTCCCACACCGAAAAGTAACCGCAAGTCAGTCCCATTAGAAAAAAAAATATAATAGAAATGTTAGACAACACATCGCATCATGGAATTTGTCTGGAACATGTCCGGATGTGGCCAATATAGTTCTTACGATACTCAGTTTGACCGCCAATGGATATGGTTTTGAATTATCATGTGATTTGATGTATCGCTTGATGGATTTTGATTTAAAAAGGATTTACCACTTCCCCGGGGATACCCGGAACATTTCCGGGTATGCCCAACATGGTGCTGGTCACTCATCATGACTCTAATTGATCTTATTTTTGTATTCTCATGTAAATTGATTTATCGCATGGTGGGTTTGGCACGTTTATGAAAAGCTCTGGTCTGATGAAGACCCATACTCACCGGAATATGTTTCGGCCATTGCTCTTAAACCAGCGAAACAAATCCAGAAACATTCAATAACGTTCTATGGGACCATGATATCTTTCTACTGTTCAATACTGTGCTAAACTAATGCAGCATCGTCATGGAATTGTGACTGACTTGCGGTTATTTTTCTCATGGACGTTAAATGTAATCGCAAGTCAGTCCCATTCAGATTTTGGCCATAAAATAAAAATTTCACGATATTTTTTGAATATTTTATGGTAAACATAGATGCATTCTATCACATTGTACGTTTATTTTAAAATTTATAACTCCAAAATAAGTGTCAAATCAGAAAACTTGTAAAATCTTTGAACGCCGATTTCTCAGTTCCAGTTTTTTACAGATGGGACTGACTTGCGATTCAGGGCAGTATAGGTCTTATAAGAATGCATAAAATAAAAGGTATGTGTGACTGCTTATACATTGCATTTGGCACATGATCTTCATTAACTTCTTGCTAGGCGTCTGCTTATAAGTTGACTTATACATTTTATGAATAATCAGCAATAGAAAATTGCCAAAAGGTATAAGGAGATTTCTATCCATGTAGGGCCCTCGTGTTGCTTCAAAAGAGAAAGCAGACGCTTCTGTAGACACTCCTTGAGGTAGATCTCCCCGTTTACAGTCCCGGTAGTCACGAACGGCGCACCCCGTTTGCCACATGAGCAGATCGCTTGCCAAAGCATGTATTTCTTGGCAAACTTTGAAAGTTTCTGTTTCCTTACTTCCTCCGGAACATCAAACTTGTGCTGGGCGGTGAAGAACAGAACGCCTTGACGTAAGTGTCTCCATGATGAGACAATGAGGCTTCTGGGTCAGCATCTGGGTGTACAGTTTCCGGGCTCGTGACTTTCCCACCGTATTTTGCCGTTCTTCACGATTTGGAGCCTTCTGCACTTTGTACGTATGCAGTCCCTCCCGGTCCTTGGCTCTCTGAAAGAAAGACTTGGACAGATTCAACTTTTTGGCCACATCCCTGACTGAAGCATTGGGATTCCGCTTAAACGCTTTCACGCTTGTGAACTTGATCACTAATAGAACATCCATTCTGACCGCATTTCTCCTTCCGTCCGATGCTCAGAGTTTCGCAGTAACGTTTAATCACACGACTCACCGTTGACTGCAAGATTCCGTGTTTTTTTTTCCGATGTCCCGATGAGAGAGTTGATGATTTTCCAGCTGCTGGCGCAAAATCAATTCGCGACGTTGCTTTTCGGGTAACGCCATTTTTTTTCAACTTTCGAAAAACTGACAGCGATAAAAATACAGTGTAAACAATACACTCTAAAATACTTCTACTTTCTTCTACCCAAATTTTCAAGAGAAAATACCCAATGGATAATTTTTACAGAATTCTTTTTTTTTGCTCGCCAAAAATTTACCAATTTATCTCGAATTCATACCAATCAAGCCCAGATAACCCAACCGATCACGCCCCTTTCTAAGCAATCTCTGGATCTAAATTTCGCCAAGAAAACGAACTTATCTGTAGGCGGCAGCTAGTAGGATGGATCTCTCTGATTTGGTATTGTGTATACAGAACGACAACGAAAGGGCATCAAACAAATTAGAAATAAATATCAGCTATTGGTCAATAATTGATATGATTATTATTATCCGCTTCATTCATATACAGTTACAGATATTCTAGCTTGTTGGAGGTTGAAATTGTCTGGTTTTTTCAATGTTAAACTTGATGTTGAATCTTCTTTCTCAATTGCGGGAGTGAGGGTTTTTCCTTGTCCCGATCAGTTCTCTGTGGAATCCTATACCAATTTCTGAAGCTCCCTTCTTAAGAAAAAAAAAACTCTACCAAAACAAAAAGGACATCAGACGAATGTAAACATTCATGCGAGCATTCTTGGCATTAGACAGTGCTGCCAGAAAAGATTGATAAATTGGTTCTCGTGGTGGTTGAAGGGTGTTTGAGTGTCTTTGATGTGTTTAACACAAGGTGGCAGAGTGACTTACCCCCTGCATTCAGCAGATGGAGTGGAGGAAAGCGAAATGGAACGATGCGAAACGGAACGCAAAATCAAATAAGGCTACCAGAAACTCGCTTTTCTGATGGCCGTAGGGTTACTAGAAGTTCAGATTAAAAACGAACCCCGGTAATATGCACGAAGTGTCGTTCAGATTAACGAGGGTCCACGGTACATACTAGGGTGCCAAAGTAAAAAAAAATTGAGCAACATAAAACTTCAACGGCACCGGTGGTGTAGTGGTAAGCGTGATTACCTCTCACCCCAGCAGGCCTGGGTTCAATCCCAGTCGGCGCCGCCGGGATGTTCTGAGGCATAACATCTCTGATCACGCCTTCCTTCGGATGGGAAGTAAAGCCGTTGGTCCCCGGTTCATGAGTTGATGGGTCGATAGGTAGGGTCCAGGTGTGGTAGCTGCCTTCCTGGCACGTCGGTAGTATTGGTGCTCAGCACGGAAAACAAGATCGACGGAAAAAAAAAACATAAAACTTCGACGATTTTGTGCCACCCCAAATCATGTCCGATTGAGCATGAGCATGAGCATGATTGACCGCCCACGGTTGCTACTCTGTTATTGCCAGATCAGCTGTAATTACACAGAGAACCAATAGACGATGCTTGGGACTAGCAATCATCCTCAATGTGTAAAAACTGGTGATCTCAAACACGCTCGAACACAGTTCAAGAAAGGAAGGGGTAGGAATGTGTTGACGTGACACCCGCTTTGATGGAAGCCATCTCTGCACTTCCACGAGGAATCACTGGGATATTGGGTAATAGGGTTGGGTTTGCAGCAGGGTTCGTTTTGGTAAAGGATAAGCTGAATTGATGTCCAAACGATCATATAACGCGAAAGAGCTTGGGATTTAACCCACGGTCTTCTGCTCAGTAATCAAGCTTTTTAGTCATCGAGTTACTGTTATTACCATGTAGTCATGTTAACAAATAAAGCGATTGACGAATCTTGAATGTGTATAGGCTTGAGATTAGACTCATGATCAAGGATGGAAAATCATTTACATTCATTTCGTGTATTCATTTACATTCATTTGCTAACTTTTTTCATCAACAGAATATCGTTAAATGATGTTTGAAGCTTTTGTATCTTTTGATATTAACTACAACTTTTGTTAATAACTAAAATCTAAATTTCTTATGCATGATGCAGCAGAGCTGGCAGAACATGTTATTGTTTTTCAGTGAATGCAATTAACATTCACTGAAAAACAATGGTGGTTTCTTATCGCTCTATGCATAAGAGATACAGATTTGAGTTGTTTACAAAAGATGTAGTTAATATCAAAGCCTACAACACTATACTGCTGCATACACTATTTTACTGAATTCTGTTGATGAAAAAAGTTAGAGGCAAATGAATGTAAATGAATGCACGAAATGAATGTAAATGATTTTCCATCCCTGCTCATGATGTTCTGCTCAGTAAGCAAAAAACGGTTGCTCTAAGACCACCGAGCCCTAATATCACATTATACCGTTACTCAAGTTGTTATAACTATTCGAACCCGGCACCGACGACATCGAAAAGTTTTACACAATACACGATAAACAAGCGATCTTACCATACATTCTTAATATGAAAGAACCTGGGACCGCGTTTTTCTGCTCAGTAATCAAGCCACTGCAACCGACGATCTTTGAAATCCTAAAACTAAAAGCTACGAAAGAGTATTTAGGCCTTCATTAAGTTCCACTTTCACGCATTCAATGTTTCGATTTGCTCTTTACACATAGTTCAGCCAATCATAACAAGCTATGACCGATGTGACGATTGTTTGAACCCTGGTTAAACAAGCTATGCAAATGAAATTACGTTCTCGAATTTCACTTGGTATGTAATGGACAACAGAAATACGGGATAATTCATGTAGTTTCAGCCGTTGATGGTTAATTTTATGGTTGATGGTTAACGGTACTGCGTACGGCGACTACAGCGAATTTGTAACTTACCATTTGTCTACACGAAACGAAAATCAATTACTTTATTCATGTGTTTCACTTATACATTTTTGCCAAAACATCAACCTTATACCACAAACGAAGTGACAGACGACTAACTGGCGAAGAAATCGATTAAAATAATGTGGTTCGCTGTAATAGAATTTTCATAGAAGCTTGTGCCATTATCCACCAGATGGGATAGTATTTTTGTTTTGGTTTTGCACAAAGTTGATTTTGTGTACAATGATTCATTGACAGTGTGCAAAGAGTGCGTATCATTTTGTCATTTTTTTATGCATTTCAATTTTGAGTAGAGTGAAAGAGATAGAACCAAAACATTCTAATACATTTGGTGAAAATGCTAGTACAATCTAGTAGTAGTGTTGCCATGTGGTACAATCTAGTAGTAGTGGTGTTGCCATGCGGTACACTGAAAAATTGAAATAGCAGGTTAGTCACCAAAGTTTTCGAGCCGCTCCGTCTGTCACTTCGTTTGTGCTTATACATTCCATAAGACAAACCACATAGGTCCTATAGGAATGCATAAAAGTTGTGTGTGAACGCTTATACATTTCATTTGACACATGATCTTCATTAACTTTTTTCAAGGTGTCTGCTTATTAGTTGACTTATACATTTTATGGATAATCAGCTATAGAAATTTGCCAAAAGGTATAAGGAGATTTCTATCCGTGTAGGATATAACACCTTTGCTCGGCACCTCCACTTGAGCTTCATGCCTGCTATCGGTCACTGTTTGCAAAAATATCTAATAGCAATTACCTTTGTTGTAATACTTCCTGCACTGCCATGGTCATCTGGGAGAAGGTTCACGTCTAGTGCTTTCCCCAGGAACCGTTCACGGCCACCAGCTACCGCCGTCCAGTCTTGGGCGTATCCAGCGAGGCATCCTTCAGCTTGCTCACAATCTCCGACACTGGCGAAGGACCAGCAGACGAGCACTTTTGCAAGCCGTAAACTCGCTGATTCACGGCAACGTCGGCCACCGACTGACCACCAAAACTCGCGGCGGACACATTGGGCCTTATTACGGGTGTCACTACACGGTGATAAGCAAGTGATACTCAGAATAAGAGCCGTGATTACCGTACAAATCAAATGGGAATCACTTCACCGTGACGACAAGTGACAACTTTTCACCGTGAAGTGACATCCGTAATTGGAAGATTGCCGTAAAAGCTCAACGCAGATGTCGCCATTGCATGATGATGATAATGTTGACAGACTGCATATAAAATTCGTGAAAATTAGCGTTAAATCATAATTTTCATCAAGCCTGTGTAAAATCCTTCCAATATAACATTCGAATTGAAGTAGAAAACGTTTTTACGATCAGACTGATGTGCATCTTTGACTTTTCCAGTTAAACTTTCATAAGATATATTCATTTCATTTCGCGGCTCCATCAATGCTGCATCGTAAATATGATGTAAACAGAAGTAAATTGCTCAATTACTCAAAATAAAGATGATTTGTCATCTTGTTATCACATTGAAGACCATCTAGCACCATTTTATAGTATGGTGCGTGTTGAGTAAAGTAAGTTCCGTTGCGTTTTCCGTCGAAAATTGTGAGTATCAATATGTTTGCTTAGAAAAGGCCAAAATGAACATTTATTGAATATTGGCGTCCTATACAACCAATTCTCCATTACCACCAGCATGATACAACCTTTCCTAAGTAAATTAACTTAATTTCCACTTTCATCTTAGTGTAAATCGCACATATTCATCATTTTCCGAAAAATGCAGCTGCGCAGGAGGTAACCTCTCGCTGTGGGTGCAAACTTGTTATGCATTATTTTCCATGAAAACCTCTCCGATCCATACCGAAATAATAACAATTAGTTTTCAAACACGTTTTCTTACACGATTCAAGCAAAAGTTTCCACGGGAAATTATTCGTTTTTCTTTATGGACCGGTTTGCCCCAAAAATCGTCTGTTTTACTTGGAAAATTTGGAAACTATCCTCCTTCTAGTAGTTCTCACTTCGAAATGTAGGAGGCGAAAGCTTGGAAAAGTTTCGCTGCAAGACGCCAATAAGCCCCATTATCAGCACTTTCCCCAGCTAATTTACCAACCAGACCGTGTTCAAACTCGCACACGGTGACGAGACTTTCGATAGAACTACACGCCGAAAGCGTAACATCCGAACACGGTGAACCGGCCTCCCGGTAGGCAATGAAAATCGCAAGCAAACTTACACACCGCTGGTTACAAAAAAACACACCCGTGCAAAGAAACGGATCCAATAAACGTTACTCTCGCGAAAGCAAACCCGTCGTCTTTGAACGGCGAAAAAAAAGGAACTCGGTGAGCAATTTTGTGATACGGAATTTCCACTGAAAATCAACCGGGAATGCACGAATTTCACAGAACCAACATCAACACCGACCGTGCCGAGCTCTTTCACGCACCTTGCCACCCCAAAGCATGTCTGATTGAGCCCAAATTTTGCATAGGGTCTGTTGTCGAGGCAATGAAGATTTTTCGAGCTGTGTTGGCAAAATCAGAAATCAATTGATATTTTTCCGTTCGCCAGAAAATGGCCTTACAAGGTTTGTTTACAAAATGGAGTTAAGGCCATTTCAATTGTTGATCTTGATATGTCCAAAACGTAAACAAATCGGGTTTTGATACCATTCTTTAGCACCGCTTGATAGGTACTAATCGTATAGGAGTGTTTCGCATAATCGAGAAAAATCATTAAAAATAACTCGATATTCGAAACGGCCGATCAACGAAATTTTTCAATTCATTAATAGGCCCGCACGCTAAAACGGCCAACCATTCATTTATTTCATTTAATTGATAAGCCTAGTGACGTAGAAGGGCCGATGATTGAAAAATTTCAAACCAAAGCTAGGCCCTACTGCTTGAGGCAGGGCCGATGATTTGTTTTGAATTTATTTGACGTTGCGAAAATGCTTAGAGTACCATTTGTGATGACAAGCACAATGGCTTAACAAAAAGGGCCTATCCATTGAAAGGATCACAAATAGGCTTATTAAGTTATGGTATTAAATTGTCATCGATTTTCATATATATTTTGAAAGCTTTTCGCATATTTTGGATGTTGTATACTGAGATACAGTTACTATTGTTATTGTGAACAATATAAATGCCTAAAATACTTCAGTTTTCTTAAATATGAATTGAATAGTGGCGGAAAAATTTAAAATTCATTTTCTGGTTTGTTTACGTTTTGGCCGTAGGCAAATTTCAAATGTTACAGGAATTCAAGCCGCGCTAACGCAAACCATCATTACCATCGAATACGGGAATACTTTCCTTATCTGATGGTGATATTTATTTGCTTGGGCGAGCCTTGAGTTTCTAGAAATCATCGAGAGAAGTCATTGTTTACAAAAGCTGTTACGCCCTAATTCCAGCTCTATCTAGATTTGGTAAATATTCGGTTTGAAACATTCGATGGTCACTTTTGTCCCATACATTTCATTGGCACCCTAATGTGTATGTACCCAGATGAATAAGATTTGAATCAACAATCTAAACACAACCTAAGATTTCAAACTTGTAAAAAACGTGAAATATCGTCAAAGTATGGCCAACAATAGGTGCGTTTCCCCTAGCCGAATCTTCCGGAGAGTACTTTTTCTCTCTTACCAAACATGGGTACCGTATGCATGCGTGATAATGTTTGCACAATTAAGCAGTGTCAAAATTAAAAAAATTCTCAAAAATTTCGTTTTCGAGTTTTTTTTATTTATTCAAAGGGAGGATGTTTCTCAGAGTCTTAAACTATGTTAATCATCGATCGAGTTTCCACTTGCTGCAATTACGGCCACCACACGCTTCCGGAATGCACGGCAGGTTCTAATAATGTAGTCTGGATCCATTTCTCTCCAGGTACGGGTCAATGTTTGTCTGAGGCTTGTTGAAATACAACATTTGGCTTCGGACCGTACTGTTCTTTGATCCACGGAAGAACATACTTACTTAAAATCCCGATGTAGACCTTGTCGCCTTCTGGAATGAACACCGGGTCCATTTTTTACCATCGGAAGCCACCAATCCAAACACCATAACGCTAGTAGGATGCTTGGTCAGATACACGTTCTTGTGCTCGTCGGCCACGTCTTCTACCGGAAGAGATACCGGTAAGGTTCTGGAATTTGATACGGGATCGACGGTAAACATGCTCCCGTCGGTGAACAGGATTACCGGATTTTTTCGCTAAGGAAGTTCAAGATTTTCTTGCATCGTTCGACTCGTAGCTCCCGGATGCGGTTGGTAATCATGTGAGTTTTTTTCCGTGCCCCCGACTTCCTTTACGATCTTCCGTGCCGTAAAGTCACTGATCCCGTGTTCCTTTGCCATTTTCCTTATTGAACGCACTGGATTCACCCGAATCTTCCTTTTGATAGCAGCGATAACCCTCGGAACCCGAGTTGACCTCGGACGACCTGTGGCCACCTTCGCGGATAGTTGTCCTTTCTTTTCTCGGCCTAAAACCTTTTTGACGGTCCACCGGGACACTCCCACAGCGATTGAAATGTCTTTTTTCGACATTTGCGCGTGGGACAAATCACGAATACGCTGCCACTTCGTCATGGTGCAACTGTCAAACTAAGTAAATCATTTTCTTTTATACACAGCCTATTACGGTATGAGCTATGGGTTACGTGCATGCAAAGAAAACCAAGGCATTGTATGTACAGGTGAAACGGGAACCTTATTTGTACGATGGTGCAAACATTATCACGCATACGGTATGTGACATTTTCTAAGCCGAGTATGATGAAGTACCAAAAATTCCTCCAAGTTATAGTCTGACCACGAAACGATGGTCAATATCTGGTTCAGCCTGAATCTGATTCCATAGACCGTTTTTATCCATGAGCTACAACTGAACTACCAGAGATCCCACCAAGTTTTAGCTCATTCGATCTGCCGTAAAGTTACTAAACGATTTCCCAAACCATCCGCACCAGTATCTCTCTGAATGCTACTAATCTGAATTACCATATATGTGTTACAAAAACAGAAAAAAAAAATGTGATTATCAGTTGAAATACAACACAAACCGAAAAAGTATGCAAAACTGAAACTGTCGTTAGAAAATCTAAAATATTTATTTCCAAAAGACTATAGATCATATTTTAAGAAACAGACAAAAAAAAGAGAAGAGAATAAAATCTTGCAGAACTGAGGGAGAACATCCAAACGAAATGATGCCTACTATCTAAGATGAGAGGAACCAAATCAAAATGAAGGGAAATTCCACCAGCATGCAACCCCAAACGGTATTTTATCAAACATATATTGAAGCTCTATTGAAACCTAGAAGTGATTAGCGTTTAAGTAAAAGTCGATGCAAATTTCTGTGTACTGTGTACCTTATTCACCAGCAAACGAGAGAAGAATATATGGAGGATTTGTTGTTGAAAAAATTATAATCGCAAAACTGCAAAACAAGGAAGAAGAATCGACAAAGGGCACTGAAAGATCACATTGTAAGGTATATTAGGAGGTAATTTTTTATACTTACGACTCGTCTCGGAACTGATCATTAAGTTTACAACTTTTTTCGTGCAACAACAAGACAACAATTTCGTTACTTTCCTAGTCAGCAAAAGAGCCAGATCTAAAGATGGGTTTTTAATGGTAAGAAATATAGAACTAATAACCAACAAAGAAGTATATATCAGCAAGGGAAAACGAAATACAAATCAGAGTTAAGGATTGCTTAATTAAGGACTAACACATAGCGAACAACAAACAACGGTAGAACAACAAATGAAACAAAATCGAACTGGTGTCCCATCGTGTTATAAGTACGTAGGTAAGTCGGTACGCTCTAGCCAAAGATACAAAATGAAATTAAGACAGAGCCGGCGATGAAACATTTTTATGCTAAAACCGTCCCTTCCCGGAAACGATCGATCTTTTTGATAGAAACAACAATGTTATAAAACACAAACAAAGCAAACCAAAACATCAGAAGGGATCAAAAAGCAAACCAAAAGAAGATCATACAACGGCGTGCCTATAAGCGAATATAGAGAGAAGCTACTAAAAAACAAACCAACAACAACAGAAACAACAAACATGTGTTACAATTAAGCAAAAGTATGTGACAAGCAAACAAACAAACAAACAACAAAGAACATAACAACAATTCCTTAACGCAACAAATTAGATCTGTGATAATATGCAAAGTATGCAAATGATAACAACACAAACAAACAAAAAAAACAACAAAACACAAAAGCGAAAACTAACTGATTGATAATGTTGAGAGAAAAAGAGATAGAGAGAGAGAGAGCGATATGATATAGGATATGAAAACACCGAGAGTGTAGTGCGATCAAAATAATGTGTAAAACCGACGAACAACCCAGAGAGTGCACGGCACGGACAGTAAAACTCAACATAGGTACTTGTCAGGATTTATTTATTTTCTCGAGTTTTTGGGTTGGTTCAATAAACACACACACACACAAACACACTCCAACAAAGCGCGATATTTAATCCAAACACTGAACACAGTAATGTAACATTCTTATATTCTTTTTCTCATAGCAAGTAAGCAAGTATGGTTATTTAATTTATTCTTCTGTGGTTATGGAACATTTAGCGTTAAACATATACTTATAGAGAGTGTATTCTAGATAAACGTGTATGTATTTGATGTATTGAAACTGAGCAACTAAAAAAAAAAAGAGTTTAAACATAATAATCAAAACTATCACTACCGAATAACAAGAAGAAATTCAAATGGCATGAAATGCATAATCGCTACCGAATAGATGTTAGTAGGTATACATTACTCTAGTGGCAAACAGTTTCCCGAACTAGATGTGTGTAGGTTTCCCTTCTGTTGGACGCGGAGAAAACCCAAATTGATTTTTTATTTTCAATAGAAGATGCCTGTTAAATTGGCTTATAAACGTTCCAAGTAAGAGAAGAAAAAAAAACATCAAGTAAGTAAGGAAGCGATGCGAAACCAGTAACAAATGCCAGAAAAGGGAGAGAAGCAAAAAAAAAACAAGCAAGATGCCATCGTTAATTAGTAGAGAAAAACAAAACAATTGAAGCGAGATAAGGATATCACCTCTTAGGAGCAAGCGCGAATAGTCTTGTGTACAACAACTCGAAAGCACTCTATTTATAAAGCAGGAGAACGTTAAAGACTTAAAACGAGACACGAACTATTATAGAGTTAGTAAAGTCGAACGACCTTTTTGGTTAGCGGGTGAGAACTAGGCGATCAGGCCGGAGGAACCGGATCTAAGACATGTGTGCGTGATAATGCACGAGTTGTGAGAAATAGCCATCAGGAGAGCAGAGAAAGCTGCGACGAAGTGACGATCAAGCACTTCATTACTGGGGAACGGGAGAATTTCCTGTGCTTGGCCTAAACGAAGTCCCACAGGGTAGGCAGCGTGGCAGCAATGGTTTCAAGATGCAGGGGAATTGTGTTATCTTGCAACACACTAGTGACAGGCAGTAATGATGTTACCGCGAGGGAAAACTTAACCGTTATGTGCACGACGGGGTACCCAGCTCTCATTTGAATAACACGAGCATGAGCATGATTGACCGCCCACGGTTGCTACTCTGTTATTGCCAGATCAGCTGTTATTACACAGAGAACTTGGGACTAGCAATCATTCTCAATGTGTAAAAACGTTCAGAAAAGGGAGGTAAAGCGCGGGTTGTACTTAGTAAGACGAAAATTAGATCAAAAACCCTATGGTCTTCAACATAAAAATAATCTGGTTCTATGGCATAGAGTTATCCTTAGATCAGTCAAATCGAGGCCGTTATCGGAGAGTTGATCAGGATCCAAAAAGGAAAGGAAACAGGTAGAACAATTAATCTTAAATGGGCAGCTAAGGCCTGTACTCGAAAAAAAAATGCACCAGACAAAAGTGTTCGCCAAAAATTTATTTTAAGTCGGATTTTCTTGAAACTTTCAGGGAATGAACTAATACATATGGATTATGTTTCGGCATAATTACTTTATTCAATTTCCTTTCCATCGCTGAAAGCCCGCACCTTTCCCTTAAGACCCCTCATTACATTTTGTGCAATGGTGGAGCCGACCGTTTTGGTCACTTTCAGCCATTCTTTCTTCAACTTCAGCTCGTTCTTAAATACCTGGCCCAAATTCTTTCCACCGGACGAATATCTGGTGAATTTGGGGGGTTGGCGGTTTTGGTACAAAAACAACGTTATTGTCTCTGTACCAATCCAACGTCGATCGCGCGTAATGGCATGATGCCAGGTCCAGCCAAAATAATGTCTCGCCTCCGTGGGACCGCAGGAAGGGCAACACACGCTTCTGGAGGCACTCGGTGCGGTAAATTTCGCTGTTGATGGTACCCATTGTGATGTACGGTTTACTCAGTTTATCGCATTGGCATATGGCCTGGGAGAGCAATTATTTTTG